TGCGTTATCTCACTGCTACGGTGGAGAAGAGCTTCAAAATCAGAAATCTCAAACCTGTTAGAAATCCCATCCATTACACTCCGTCTATATACATGTCAATAGATTGTGGAGAAAGCACGTTTTTTAAGAATGTCTGGTCTTGTGGAAAGACTTTATAAAAGTGTGAGAAAACNAATCTGAGATTTCATTTAACTCCAGCTCTCGACACAGGTTCGGGAAAACCCCATGAGCTTCTCGCTGTAGAGTGAAAATGGAACGCACATGCTATTTGTAACAAATAGCATGTGCGTTCCATTTTCACTCTACAGCGAGAAGCTCATGGGGTTTTCCCGAACCTGTGTCGAGAGCTGGAGTTAAATGAAATCTCAGATTTGCCTTCTTAATAGTTTGTTTTGGTCCCTCACTTCCGTTTTGCTTCTCATGCACTGATTCGCTAAGCTGAACAGCCAATAAGAGTGATTATTTTGCCGACAGCCTACCGATTCAACATGTCGAATCGGCGGCAGCAAATGTCGGCACGGCCGAAAAAACACGACGGTGCAGTACACACCAATCTGAGTAGGGCGACACGACGCTCATCGACGGCCTGACATCTATCGACGCGGAAAATTGGCTCGGTGTATAAGGGCCTTAAGAAGCAGGCCGGTACTGGTGTGAAGGGGGAAATGTGTGTTTATGTATGAAGCTACAGAGAAATATAGCATTATCAAGCAGATCATTAATCCACAACGGTAAAATAAAGAGTATTCCAACTTAAAAAATAAGTTCATTATATATGAGATAGCCTTTAAATGTTCCTCTGTGGAAGTATTTTTGGTTGAGAGATATTAATACAGGATAGGCTAGCCACAGCAAGACTGAAGGGACCGTGGGGATACAAGTTATTCAAATGATCCATATTGAAAACTTTCTTTTAAAATGTCTTACCCGCTGAGAGAGACCATAACCAGTTCCTCCTCTCGCTGTTTAAAGCCTGTTTAGGCTCATTATTGGAAAACACTGCTTACATTTTAACAGTTGGGTGACAAAAACCCCAGCTCTTCCTTACTTCAGCATAAATGTAAGGCCATATCGTGAATGTACCATCTGGAATGTTGGAAATGTAAATGCTTAGTGATAAACTGTGCTGCAGAGAGAAGGGAAAGAGTTGGAGATAACGTTACCATCGGAGGGCGATCTTGATGGGCGTGGTGAGGCAGGAGGTGAAGAGGTCGGCTGGGAGGTCAGGGTTCATGGGTAGCAGCTCGCTGGCCTCGCAGGCCGCCAGCTGGATGCAGTTCTTCATGGAGGGAGGCAGGGGCATCTGCGCCAGCGGGTGGCTGGGGTTGATGGCTGCCACCTGAACACAGAAAACATGACAGTTACCACCTGAGTCACACTAAGGAATGATCCCTAGGTTAAGTGAATGAATGCATTCCTGTTCAAATCATCATGGACACAGCATTGTACTCGCAGTAAAAATAAGTCTCTGCATTTACCCCATCCTAGTATTAGTAGCAGTGGGCAGCTATTATACAGCCCTGGGAGCAGTATGGGGGTCTGGTGCCTTGGTGAACTGGCCTATAAAAGTACCAGTGTACTCTGTGTACTTGGTCCATTCTGGGACTGGAACCAGCAACCCTGTGGTTCCCAAGTTAAGTCCCTTCAGACTGAGCTATTACTCAAAATATGTCCATGTAAAAGAATAAGGGTTGAAATATCAGCTGTTCTTTTAAAACTGCAGCAATCACAGAAAGTGATCTCACTATGAATCTGGTTTTCAGACCAAAACTTTAAAGGGATATTTCAGATTTTTTTGAAGTGGGGTTGTATAAGGTAACTATCCATAATCAGTGTTTTCAATCCTCTAGATCCTGACATTTGGTCATGGGAATAAATGACAGAGGGATCAGAGGGAAGAGGAGCTGTGGGACAAACAAGGAGACTTTAAAGAAGGGAAACTTGTTTGTGGACACTTTTTAAGTCTGTCAGAGCCAACCAACACTTCCCTTTGTGACATCCCATTTGCTCAAACACATTTATGTGTTTGAGCAAAATGTGGATGTGGTTCCCCTCTACCGTGCAGATTGCTTTTCTCTTGTTTGCTCTGGGAGTGTATTAGATATAACGAAAAAAAAATAAGAATAGTCATAACATTGTGCCACAACATTGTGCATCGTGACTATAGAATGGCGAAGTCCCTCCCCTTCCGGGGGAGCTCCATGGGACCTTATTTCGGAAAAATTATGTATTGAAGTCAATGGGGAGAGAAAGATTATCTTTCGATCCCGTTTGAATTGTGCCACGGATTACACATATGATGTTTGTCAATTTAAAAGATCATTTTGCCAGTCAAAAAAATAAAAATGTGTCGTAAAACTGTGAAGTAACATTTGTTTGTGTGAAACGCTTAATGAACTACATTTCTGGTCTCGCAGACTCTCACAACAACACACGTCACCAAGATGGTCGTAACTACTGTCTTGCTAAAAAAGGGATTGACTACCCTCACAATGAAATACGTCCAGAATAATGTCATACAAAGCTGCCTGCCTGCCAGCCTGCCTTCCTTTGATTCTCTCTGAACTGCCTGATCTTTTTAATGTTTAATGTCAACCATTTGTGCAGATAGCATGAAGTAGAACAGATTGCCGATGCTAATGTAGCGTTAGCGTTTTTCCCCCGGGTTTAAATGGTGTATTATAGAATGATCACACCGGTGTGACAGTACTCTTCAAAGGGTTCACAAAATATGACTATTACTCTTACTGTTTAACATTTTGGGTTACTTAATGTTACTTCATGTTAAGGCTAATACAAATGACAAGGCTAAGGCTGTAATGCTAACTAACGTGCTTGCTACTAGCTAGGTAGCTAACTTGATCCAGCCACTCCTGGTCCTTTCATCAGACGGGAAGCGAAAGAACGAGCAAGACCCATTGCTGGTATGATAACAACCTGGTACTAAGCACACAGGCATCTTGTTAAAGTTATCTTATCTTAGCTATCTCTTATATTTAGCGGAGGAAAATAATTGTGACATCAGTTATGGAGGAATGGAAATTATTTTTTAAGATTGACAAACATCATGTGTAATTCTTGGCACAATTCAAACGGGATCGAAAGATACGTTTTCTCTCTCCATTGACATTCAATACATAATTTTTCAGAAATAAGGTCCCATGGACCAGAAGTAGATGGGCGTGACGTCGCCACTCTATAGAGTAGTGCAAGAATGAGTCCCCAAAAGAAGTTTGCATTTGACCACTTCTGGTTCCGTCATTGTTTAACAGGATTTTGGTTAGATCAGCGCCGTATAGATAGATGCATATAATAAGATCTCAGGTTACCACAAACTGAAGATATTTTTCACATTTAGTACTACGTCAAAGTACGTTAGCTGCTAATTAGTGGCTAAATGAGACTACTGAACGTCATTATGCCAAACATCCGCCACCTTTAGCTTGTTGTTTATGAGCAGCCATGGGAAGGATTTAGGCTTTATAAATCATAAAGGTGGTGATATGTGGAGTTTATCCTGCCGAACAAAACGTGGCATTATCATGAATGTGTATTCTGCAATATATGGAAATCCACTGGGAAAATCCCATTGCTTTTTGTTGAAGGAGCCCTTGCCATGCTAACTTCAAGGTGGCCCTACAAAAATATGTAATCACTGCACCACTGTTGGAGGAAGTTGGACTTTAGACACTGCAATGGGTGCAAGGTGAGAGGACAACAGAAGACAGAATGATGAACTCGAGACCAGATAAGACATTTGAACACAAGTTCAGGACAGACTGAAAGAGAAAGAGGTCGGAGTAGAAAGAAGACCTCCACACTTGGAGTAAAAACTCTTCTTGAGTCTCAGTGTGCACATGTCCCATAAGGCAACAGGTGAAGGCATCAGCCCCCTGCTACACCTACACCATCCTGCTCTAGCTGTTGTCATCATTTCCCCAAGCTGTTTGTGCTTCTCAGATTTATCATCAAATCATCACACTCAGAAACTTTTCTACAAAGACAAATCTGATATTCATTTGAGCACTTCAGGCAACAGTCTTCACTGAGAACAGGAATGTATACATTGTTCCCAGGGTGAGCTCATTCTCATTTGAAAGTGTTTACTATGAACGGAGATGTTTTTCTCCACGTATAAGCCGTTGTGTTGTGTTTACCACGTAGAAAATTGAAAACCATTTCAAATTGAAATCTCAATAAGAGTTAAACACCTTTCTGGTACAGTTATGAGCATCATGGAATAAGTAGAGAGTTGTTTTTAAGGGATGTTCTATCTGGTGCATTAAAACAGTAGGAAGATGTGATTTCAGAAAATACAAATTAAAGTTTTTGCACGTCTGCCACCTTGTTCTTTCACAAAAAAAACGAATAACTGACGCTCAGCCTGACACATTTTGAGAACATTATGATAATGTTATGTTTTATCGATCCCAGTGAGGAAATGTTCCTCTTGCTTCCCCCTTTAGCAGGCGGTCTTTAGTGGTAAAGCCTCTTGTCTATTCTTAAAACAGAATGAGTGGTTATTTCCACACAGAGCGGCGGCTCAGTCAATACTTGCAAATGTGAAAAATGGAGGAGGGATGAATATGATGAGTTATATTTGGAGATCATTGTGCTGTTGTACTATAGATTTGTTTTCTAGGAGTTCGATATGGAGTGTCTTTTGGTAAGTTCACTTTAATGATAAAGGCAGCAATCCAAGACTTCCCTTTAACATCACTGACTGCACTTATTCTTGCATATATCATTTATAAACAGATTAGGGAGAGAGATTAGAGTAATATCATTGCTTTTATTGCCTCTTTCTTTAAAACAGTCTATTATTCCAAGAAACACAAGAAACCATTATTTTTGATAAAAGTGGAGATTTTCATAGTTATCTTTTCTTTCTTTTTTATTTTTTTATTTCATAACTCCGAGGAAGCGCTCTTTATTATTAGGAAAGCTGGTCCACCTTAAAAGGTATACTTACAGAAGCTCAGTCTGTAGGGACGTGCCTTGGGAACTGAATGGTCAGCAGTTCAAGTCCCGATCGGATCAAAAATATGGAGTGTTGACTGGTAGCTCGATAAGCACTACTACTGGCACGGTCGGGTTGTCCTTGACCAAGTTGCGACCCCCCAACTGCAACCCCAACCCTCTCTTAACAACCCCAACAGTGCCGGAACACTGGCAGCCTCTTCGCTCTCCCAACGCTCGTTATTAGTCTGGTCTATAGGTCCCGTTAGTCAGAGGCAATCTACACCGTAACACTACTTTATGAACCATTATAAGCATTTGGGAGAACTACAATGTGATTAAAGTAACAAAGCCAAAGTGTTTCTAGAGGCCCTGTTCATTGCTATGAAAGTTGCTAATTGGTGCATGAAGCCAAAATTGCCTGACTTGTGAGTATAAAAATACCTCTGAAATTCTAAGCCAATAGAGAATGCACACTTGCGTTTCACCAAGCCCCGCATCCAAACTGCTGCATCACAGCAGTGTCACCAAGATCGAATTATCGATCTATCCTGGGTAGTTGATTTACCACAAAATGTCTTATTCATTGATTTACAGATGTCTGTTTCCAAATGCAAGTATGGAAAAGTACAACATAGTGAACTCCCAGTATAGTTGAAAAGTGTTCATTATGAAGACACAAAAAAACAATTCATAATTTCAGATGATTAAACACGAATAAAAACATAATTAAGAATGCTTGTTTTCCATTTTCTCTTCATAGACAGCCAAAATACTAAACAGTGGCCCTTTAAGCAAGCCTGAGTTACTAATATTAAAAAAACTCCCTTCTGTACGTGGCATTTAGAATTTTTTGGACACTTGAAGCCAATGCACTATAGGTTTGGCATGTTGAGAGAACATTTATTTTATTACTTTTTATCTGCACCGCGCTTCCTGTAAGCCGCTTTGGATGAAAGTGCCACCTAAGAAAAATATAATCAAATGTAACCCTCCTCACTTGAGCAGATGGAAAGCAAGACAAAGAGCTTGGCTTGGGTCACACAGCATTGTGGCTGTTACCTATCTGGAGACTCAGTTTCATGCACCGCTGCAGGCAGTTACGGCCCGTCCACACACAGGCATGAAAAAAATCTTGATGCTGGGCGTTTCTGAAGCTTGGCGATTTCACACGCCCAAGGCGACCAACAACCAATCAGGAATCTCCCAGGAATCTCCCGTCTGCCCCCGGCATACAAAGCAAAAAAAAAGCCGCTTCTTCTCCACTATTGCCAAAATGGATGCCGGTTTTGTAGCAAGGGTAGCAAGACTAAATATACTGTCTATGCTTGCTAGCTGTCCATGTATTATATGTTATACTATACGTTATATATTATGCTT